TTTTTTGTATTGGCACCATTGCATTTATCCTTATACTGCTTTTTTTTCAGAGTATAGGAATACTGATATTATTTATAGTTATCATCTAATTATTTTATTTATTACTTTAAAAAGGAAAAGAACATGTAATACCTAAGTTAATAGGCTTGGAAAACACTATCTACACAGAGGTAGAGATGGGTAGGTACAGCCTTAATTATCATTATACATGTTGTTTACAAGCTCAAAATAATAGCAATTATTTAACAAGCATGAGAAATAATGGAGGTTGCCATTGCTGCCATCTATTTCTGAAAATGCTAGTGGTTGGGCTGAAATGCGGATGCTCTTGTTTCAAAAGTCATTGATACTGAATGAGTATGCAGATGAATTTTAGTGTGCACCCAGATGTCACAATAACAACCAGGCAACTAGCAACCCCTTTTTTTATTCTAATGGCAGGTTTACTATAAGAGGCACGAAGAGCCCTTAAAGTGACACTAAACTTAGGCCACTTTAGCATCCTTTAGGCACAATTAAAGGTGCCTTAAGTGCCACTTGAAGGTTTTTAAAATCAGGGCCAATATCTTTTGTTTTTAAAGTGACACTAAACTCAGGAGTTAAACCTTAAAAATGCAATCAAGTACGTGATTTGTTTTGTGAAAAGTCAACAGCTACATTCTCATCTGCATCTCTAACCGCTCTTCTTCACTGCTGTCATATGCCAAATGCTCAACATCTGTAAAGATGAGTTTGATGAGTGGGCTTTGGTTGACTGCCTATCTTCACCTTGTCTTTGTTGCTTGAGAGGCAAGATGGCAGTACTGAATTGGGAAATAATTTTGTCTCTGGGTGCAAAACAGACCAGATTTTTTTTTTCAGGGATTATGTACTGGCCAGTTACGTGCCAGCTGAAAAGTACTTACGGTATATGGCACTAGTTTCTGTAAACCCTGTCAAAGAAAAAGGTTGCCGTAAGTAAACTTTTTTAGTAATGTGATTAGTGGCAGTTTTATTGAAACCACACAATAAAAATGTGAAACCATTTTTCTTTTTGTAAAAATAACAAACTATGCATGTAAAACATGTTAACGTGCAAAGGTTCATTAAAATTCACTTGAAAATGTGCAACAAAAATTAATGCAAAGGTCTGAATAGGACCTAGTCTGACAGCCTGGAAGTACAAGTCCTATATTAAAACATCCTAATTTTACCAACTGCAATTCAAATGCTTTTTTAACCGGGCCATTTCTTGTGCTGAATTCTTGCAGTTCTGCTAGCATTCAAGCAGAGGCTAACTTACTTAAATGGTAGCAAAACAGACCTTTCTCTAAGTTAGAAGAATACAAAATACACAACGTCTTTGTTCTAAGTGTTCAGTCAGTTTAATATTGTATTCCTCCTTGACTTAATTTTTCCTAGTAGAAGGGTACAATGTTCTTACTTACTAATATTTATTTTAACCCTTAGAACAAAATGTGACTGTAAAATGTGAGGCTTCAGTAGGCAAGACTGGCAGTTTTCAATTCTCCTGGGTCCACAGCAAGTCTGATGTTGATAGTTTGGATAATTTAATTGAGAACTGTACATTTCCCATAAACAAACCATGCATTAAAGCTGAAATGTAAGTAATTTATACTGGCCCATGGTATGGTACATAGGAGCAAGCTACAAGATTTCATATTTAAATGTATTTGAAAAACTATAAAACAGTTGTGTATGTATTATAATAATAATAATTATTTAATTAATTTCTGAAATTACTTTGACTTTTTGTGTATGCCTGCTAGTCCATATCTGTGTTATTGTAAAAAAAAGAAGATATTTATTGCCTGGCCACTAGAGGAGCTATGGGCACCTGTGGAACAACCATGTCTTTGTGTTGAGATAAGATATTGGCCACAGAAGAAGTGCATTGCTGTTAGTGGGTTGTCCAACTCATCAACTTGAGGAATCTGTGAAATTATGGGGTCTATTCACAAAGCTGCCAAAGGATCTAGCCATAGCTTCGGCTGATTCTTTGGCTAGCTTTGGCCCCAGGACCCCTTCATTTCAGTAGAATCGAAGGGCTGCTGTACTGGCTATTCACCATAGCCCTACAGCTCCCGAAGTTGGCCGAGCGGCTCAGTCGAGCCGAAGGCATATGCCTCAGCTTGACTGAGCCAAGGTGAAAGCCTAAGCTGACCGACAGCCTGCTACTGACTGCTGGGCGGAGCCAGCCGTCATCTCACGGCTGGCTCCGGCCACTTGCAGAGACAGATCAGCGTCCCCTGGTTACCAGGTAACCAGGGACGCTGATCTGTCATTACTCTTCCAGAAGCTCCGGGAGTCTCCTGCGATTAGATCGATTGAGCAGAGTAAACCTTTCCCTGCTCTGTTTTTTTTTCTGACATCGGAGCCACTGGCAGCAGTCAGTCAGAAAAAAAAACAGCATAGGAATGCATAGCTACTTTCCTATTGGCTATTTCACTTTGCAATAGCCAATAGCAAAGTTAGGCTGACCCGAAGCCAGCCGAGGCAAGCCGATGTACAGCTGATTTTAGTCGGTGTATGGCTGAAATCAGCCGTATAAGCCTGAAGTGAATAGCCGAACAGCGTTCGGCTCACTTCACTTCGGGTCGGTTATTCACTCGGCTGCCTACGGCAGCTTTGTGAATAACCCCCTATGTAAAATTAGTGAAAATGTTAAATTCAAATTTCAAGTTAGGAAGCAAAGCCTGCATATTTATTGGCAAATATGGTTTTCAGCACTTACCCATTTATATATCATTTATACTTAGAAGCTAAGGGGTGCGTTTTTCTAAACAATTTGCAGAGCCATTTGCGCTCTGAAACTCTGTGAATGTTCATTTTTTGAGAATGAAGGCAAAAACTAATATTCTTAGTATATTTTATTTTTCAAGTTGAATGTAATATTAGCAAAATACTGCATTATGGCCACCAGATGGCCATAATTGCATTAAGTAGACTAAGTCTTTGTTGTATCCCGGGTTCAGTGGTTGACAGAACCCGGGATACAACAAAGACTTAGGGGTCTATTCACAAAGCTGCCGAAGGATCACGGCTGAGCCGTGCTGAAAGCCGAAGCTGGCCGGCCGACAGCCTGCTTCTGACAGCTGGGCGGAGCCAGCCGTGATCTTACGGCTGGCTCCGGCCACTTTCAGAGAGATCAGCGTCCCTGGTTGCTAACCAGGGACACTGATCTCCAAATAGCTGACTCTCCCTGGCACCCCAGGAGTCTCTTGGAGGAGATCAGGTAAAAAAAAGGGGGAAACTAGGGGTGTAATTATAAACAAAACAAATATTCTTAGCAGATTTTCTTTTAAAGTCAAATATAATATTTGTAAAAAATGTATTATCTTCAGTGGTTGGAGCAGAGTAGCAACATAATAAATACTAATTTTCTATGCTCCTTAGCTAGTGGCAATAATGTGGTATTTTCCTAATATTACATTCAACTTGAAAAGAAAGTATAGTAAGAATGTTCAATTTTGCCTCCATTTGCACACAAGGAACATTCACAGAGTTTTGCAGGACACATTTGTTTGTAAATACACCCCAAGTGTTTCTTGTAAAAGCAAACAAAATGTTATCCAGCTATGATGTACTGTTACTTTAAACATGTTTTAGGATTGTGACCAAATAAGTTATCACCATATCCTGTAAGCTAATGTTTTACAGTGGGTGAAGAAACTGAGCTTCTTCAGAAATACAAGACTGAGGTTTTGGAATGCAAAGTCCCCAAACATGAGTATTGAAAGTCTATAGCTAGATCTCGAATACACACTGCATGCATCCCAAGAATATTTCTGAAATAGAAGCGTTCTGCAAGAAATAACTTTTAGGTTTGTTCTCTGTAGAGACTGCATCATTTTTTACTAAATCCCCAGGGATGCCAAAACGTTTGCAGACAATTATCATTGACACATGATGAACTTATAGGGGTCTATTCACGAAGCTGCCGAAGGATCTGGCCGTAGCTTCGGCCGATCCTTCGGCTAGCTTCGGCACTAGGACCCCTTCGGTTCAGTAGACCTGAAGGGGTACTGTACGGGCTATTCACAATCCCTGACATTTCGCAACATACAGCAAAAGGATAAAAACTCCACCTTTTATCAATAAAAAGCCACCCTTGAGCTCCAGTCAATGACTTTGCCTAGGCTTACATCAACTGTGGGTACTGATTTGACAAATCAATATGACAAATCAATATCCGTGGTTGACTCCTCCTCAATCATTGTGACTTTGGTGGAAAAGAAAGGGAAAAAATATATTTTACAGCTACCTAAAATCATACAATTGTCCTCTGTGGATGCGGTATATTGTCTACTAATGCCTTTTTATTGCAAATATGACTCTTGTGTTGGCAAGTCGGGCATTGACAATTTATGTCTTTTATGGATGTCTTTACAGCAATAAACATTATTTTTATGTTCAAATGTGTTTTTTTTTTTAAATTTGGTTGTCTTAAACGTAGCACCCATAAAGTCCCAAACAATATAACTGGCAAGTTTATATAAGAGTCATGGGGGGAGTGGTGCATAAACTAAAACTCTCCTCCCATGTGCTTACTTACCTCCTTTGAAGGCAGCAGGCCCCTCCATTGTATATACTGTATACCATATGGCAAAATCTTGCACAGTAATGTCTTATAGACTTGAATGGGATGTACGCGTGCTGCTGCAGCAAGTCTATGAGATATTACTGCGCAGGTGCGAGTAGGGTCACACTAGGGTTTGATAGCTGGGATGTAACAACACAGGAAGCCACCATTATTGGAGGGGATAAGTTAGTTAGCACCTGGGTGGGACGTTTCGGTTTTGAACATTTTAGGAGATTAGGGAGGGGGCTGGGGAACTTTTTTTATGTAAACTTGTCCTTTACTTATACACTTGCCAAAAATGTTTCCTTTTTCTACAAAACTGCTAAAATAAAGCAATTTTTATATACAAGTAAATCAAATCATTTGCATATATTGTCTATCCCCTGAGAATTAAACATTCTGCTTTTCATGTTTTAAGCCACAAGATACAAGAAGGACTTGCATATACTGAATTGATAATTTCAAGTATAAATGAGGATGATATTAAGTACCCATATGAGTGCATTCTAAGTAATCCCTACCAAACAGACAAAAAGATATTCATTTTCAGACTGAAAGGTAAGATTATAGAAACCTGTTACATCAAATCTGCTTTGGAAACGAAAAAAATTACTATTTGAAGGGGTTTCCGGAATAATATTTCACTTTTTTTTAATCAAATATCGTAACTGATAACCTAGGCTTTTGTAATCATTGTTTTTAAAAAAAATTATAATATTGATTTCAGTAAATGCAAATGGGAGTCAGTTGAGTCCATTTTGCAAATAATGGCATTCGCAAATAACTCAATTTTAATGATTTGATGTAGTGAACATGCCTTTTGTAAGAAAGCATGTTCACTAAGCACTGGTTGACATCATAACATGTTTGTCAAATAATTTTTTTTTAAAACCATATTTTGTACACCTCTGGAATACATGCACATTTCTCCATGCTTTAACACTTAAAAAAAAACAGAAAATGAACTGTTGATGTGGCAAAAATAAAGTATGCTCTTACCTTCCTCTTTGATATGATAACACAAGGAAGAAGGAAGAACACAGGAAGTTATCAGCTCACAAGATTGTACTTTTTGGCTTGAAAACAGCTTCAACCCATAAACAATTATATATTATGAAAGCAGAGGCCCTGTAGAATACACAGAAGCTTGTTGAAATTTTTTATGTCGCACAGTGTTTGCGCAAATCTTTATCAAACAAGTATTTTTAGAATATAATACACTAAAATGACATTTAGTGCACAGAAACAGAATAAAATACACAATATTTTGGTAAAATATAAAAGCCAGGGTCACACTGGGTAAATAGATACCAAACATGTCAAGCCTTAAAATTGCGTGCGCCCGTGAAACCGCAAAAAACTACAATAAGCAAAGTTTCCCATAGGCGACACTCTAAATGGTTTTTCTCCTCATCAGTTTAGTGTTACCAGTGATTGATGAGTCTAGAATTATTGCTCTCACTCCAATGCTCACAACGATATGTAACATGTGTGGTGCAATTTTCGTTTTTGAACGTAGGCGCACCTACACGTGTTTGCGTTGTATGTGGGGGGGGGGGCGAGGGACTTCTGGGTTTAATTTTCATCCTCGCCTATGTGATGTTTTGATGAAGCTATTCCAGAAGTCTCTTGGTGCAGGGGACAGTTGTTGTCTATGTTGTTATTTCAGTCATATAGGCTTGTATTGGTGACAACCACTGACTAAATGCAGCTGTGCTACTCCCTCCACCCATTTAGATAATCTGATAATGAGTTCCATTGCCACAGTGAAGGCCAATGGGGAGATGGTGCACCCCACCCAAATGCCCACCTCCAGTGGTTGCCAAGTTGTGGTAAAGTTGGGAGACAAAGTAGTAAGTCCTCAAAGTAAAGTAGTACTAGATTTGTTATTACTACATGTACCTGAAAGATGTCAAAGGCAGTTTTACTTTGGTGTGCACAGTTATATCTTACAATTTCTTGATTTTCACAGGTCCATAAAAGGTTACTTATATGCTGCACTGTTCTGGAAGTGTTAGTTGCTATTTCATACTGTCATGCGATAGTTTTCATACTGTCATGCGATTACATTTATAGCATTTTATTATTATATGTATTATTGTAAAATTGGAAAGACATATGCTCAGTGTGGGAAGAAGGCTTTAATGCTAATTTATTCTTGTTTTTCTTCAAACAGACAAAAATCCAGATATTCCTGAAAGTGTTTTCAAAACTTCAATTATTGCAGCTGTGACTTGTACATTTGCTATTATATTCCTGTTTATTCTGTGCATCGTCTTTAGAATTGAGATTGTTTTATTGTACAGAAGCATCACAGGACTGGATGAGACAACTGGAGGTAGGTGTCACAATTCTCAACGTTACACTTGACATTTCATTGAGGCAAACAGTACAGTAAAGTGTGTATAAACACAAAAACAAAAATTTTATATATTGTAGCTTATCAGTTCCTGGATATGGCAGCTGCATTAGTTTTCTTTTTAATTTTCACCTGGTGATCCTGCCATTAACAAACTTTTCTGTCCTAGTGTTACAACACTCACTCAATGGGGGTGATTTACTAACCTAAACACACGCACGCACTAGGTGCGTGTGATTATTACACAGCAAAACATATTTATCAACCAAAAAGTCTCTAAAAGCATATTTCCACTAATGCCATATATGGAAAAATCATACATTTACATTCCTGCATTCATCAACGCAAGCAATACAATGTAGAGCTAATATACACAACATCACCTTGCAATTCATGCAGGGCTTTGCACAACACACCTGATGGGTGTGTACACACTACAAAGGTGTCTAGATTCCTCCCATAGATCATGCTGGGAGGGAACACACTACAGAGGTGTATACTTGTTCGTGGCGTGTTTATAAGGTTAGTAAATCAACCCCAATGAATTGTATCTATGGAGGAGTAGTTTTGTCACCCTAGGTTGCTTTCCTAATTTGGACTTCAAACACCTACCCTTCTTCTTATCTCCATTACATAGAGGGGAGGTGTTTTGTTGTTCACAGAAACAAAAGAAATAAAACCGATAACATAATTTAACATTTAAATTCAGTGCATGGAAAGGATACAGCATTTCCATCTGAATCCCCAGGATTTTTTTGCACTTTTCAAAAATGTTCTTAGCTTGAAAAAAGAAAACTAATACAGCCGCAGCTGAAACTGATGCAGTAAGCTGCAATATATTAAATGTTTACTCTTAGATTTAGATGCAATTGATGGAGGTGCCCTCCGCACACCTTTCAGCAGTCCCGGCCAACAATCAAATAAATGGTGCTCGAAGTAACTTCACGGATGGCACCGTGCAAAACACAAGATTGAAGAAAATAGGTCACCAGCACTCCATAAGTTAAAATGAATGAGTCCTTTTAATGGACAATGATGTCACAGAAATCCAACATGAGCCGACGTTTCGGGGCCACACAGGGTCCCTTCTTCAAGGCAAGAGATGTGACCCTTGTGAAGGGACCCTTGAAGAAGGGACCCTGTGTGGCCCCGAAACGTCGGCTCATGTTGGATTTCTGTGACATCATTGTCCATTAAAAGGACTCATTCATTTTAACTTATGGAGTGCTGGTGACCTATTTTCTTTACTCTTAGATTTAGACATAACATAAATCTATATAACAAAAATGATGGGGTGGAGGCAAAAATGGTAACAGGTGACTTGCAATAGTTCAGCCTTTCTCAAATTTTTTACCCTGAAGGAACCCTGATTCCCTGCATATAAATTACACCCAGTAACATGCCCACCCTCTTACCCCATCTACAACTGATGAGTAGGTGAAAACTTGGTGGATCTTTTACAAGACCACATTTTTTTGGGCTCACTGACAGTGGCATACCTATTGTGTTTGACACCTTTTTAATGCCCCTTTCTCTAGGTATACAATTTTTTTGCTTTGCATAATATTCATGAAAGTTTGGAATGTAAGTGATATCCTGTATTACCTAACTTAAGTACTTAAAGATGCAAACTTTCAACATGTCTTAGATCCCTTCTTCAGAATTGTGTAAAGCCTGAAGAAGGGATCTAAGAAGGGATGCACCGATTCTGTTTTTTCGGTATCGAGTACCAATATTTTTCCCGGTACTCGCCGATACCGAATACCGATACCGAAATTCCCATTAAGGAAGCCAGGCGGCGTGTAATGACTCACCACCTGGCTTCCTGAGTAGCCGGGAAGCCGGACAGCGTTTAAAGGCTCGCCACCCGGCATCCCGATTAGCAGGGAAGCCGTCTCCATGGTTCTCGTCACTGGATGACGAGAAAGCATGGAGCCGGCTTTCTGGCCAATCGGAAAGCCAGGCACCGTGTAATGACGCAGTGCCAGGCTTCCTGATTGGCCGGGAAGCCAGCTTCATGCTCTCTTGTTACGAGGGGGCATGAAGCCAGCTTCCAGGCCAATCAGGGAGCTTCATTGCACGGCACCCGGCTTCCTGATTGGCCAGCTTACCGACCAATCAGGAAACCGGACAGCGACTCATTACACACTGCCTGGCTTCCTGATTGGCTGGGAAGCCCGCTCCATGCTCCCTCGTCACAAATTACAGTTGTGGTCCACAAGTGACGATGCATCATGGAGCCGGCTTCCCTGCCAATCAGGAAGCCAGGCAGCGTGTAATGACTCGCTGCTCAGCTTCCTGATACCGGAAGCTCGGGTATCGGGCTAGGCATCAGAGCATTTGGGTGAGTATGGGTACTCACCCAAATACTCGGCATCTGCAGCGATACTAGTATCGGTATCCCTAGATCTAAGACATCCTAAAATCTTGCACCTTATCAACTTAAGTTAGCCAATAAAGACTATCACTTAAACCTCACACTTTCTGCAATAATTGATGGCTTACATGGTACATACTCTACTACTGCTATGATGGAGGGTAATAATTATGAAATTATTAATATTAAGTGGAGAGAAATGAAGGAAAGAAAGTGGAAACCGTAGTGACTCCTTATTGGAGATGTGGTCCTTTATATAAGAGGTCAAGATGAGTTGTAGAAACAACCCCCCCTCACCCCCCCATACATTAGTGGTCAGTGGGAAGAATGCCCCTTACAATGGTAATTAATGAAAATTATTTTCCATTATGGTGCAGTCAGTGGAAAGCATGACAGTTACATATGTGGTCAGTGCTCTTAACAATACTCCCACAAGCTAAGTTGGAAGCCAACTAACACCCCCTTACTCATAGAATGGCAGAATCTCTATAAACCTGATAAAATGCATATGCATGTTCATGTGGAATTTCTTATACCAGTAGATAGGGATGCCTTAGATAAGTTTTAAAACATATGGGCATCATGTATCGTCTATAACGACTTCCATCTTTTTGCAGATCTTGTTGCACACTCAACTTCTAATTCCTAATCAAGTCCATATATTCTAAGACTCTATTGATTATATAAACTAACTACAACTGATCACTTCATACCTAATTTATTTGAGGACAGTTTGATCCGACAGGCCACGAAGGGATACCCCCATATACCCTTTCTCCTAGACTCATCTCCTCTCTATCTTTCTCCTCCCACCACTTTTCAACCCACTCTTGCCCTTCCCTCTTCCTCTTTAAATTATTTTGTATCCCTCCATTCCCCCTAAACAAACAACTCATGTACCCTCTCCTAAACTCCCCCTCACTCATACCTGCCCCTCACTCTCCTTATAAATCAGAAGTACACTTGCAGCAGTTTCTCCCCTCCCTTCCCACACACACACACACCGTCAGCTCTTTATATGTAACATTTCCATTTTACAGACCACAGCCTTCAAGCATTTTTGGTTGGAGAGTTTTTTTTTGAAAATAGTTTATTCGTGTCAGAAAGATATACATTTATGATAACATTCTCGTATGTTAAATACCAACACAATTTTAGCAACTTTTGAAGCATATACCTTGTAAAGTTCGGGATATGTTGAGACAAAAGATAGAACGATAAAATAGGAACATTTCGTTTCAACAGAATACATCGTATTGTAACTTAATATGCCAGGGGACATCTTCTTGTGGGCATTTCATCTCTGTACAGTGCCCTGGGCATGAGGCCTTGAGCTTTTCGTCTACTGTGCGGGCTATTGCCCCAGGCATTGTTCACCCCCCTGTGGTTTTAAGGCCTGCAGCCATTGGTTGGAGAGTTTTTATTATAATATTTTTCCTTAAACATCTAAAATTCACTTCATTTAGTATGCAGTTTAATTATGGTATAAAAAGTATATAGTATGACTGATGATTAGAGTCGTATGAAAACACATTACCCAAAATGTTTCTCTTATTTATAAAGTTATGTTTCTCAATATAAACACTGCAACTGAAAATATGTTGATACCTTTATATTCACTTTTTACAGATTCTAAAGAATATGATGCGTACATCTCTTTTGAAAGTTATTCTAGCCTCCAGGGTGATGAGAGACATTTTGCATTACACACTCTTGCCCCAGTTTTGGAAAACTGCTTTGGTTTTAAACTATGCATTTTTGAGAGAGATGTTTCTCCAGGAGGAGGTGAGAAATACTGTTCCCCAATGGTAATTGTTTTCCTATTCTTCTCTAAGAATACTTTCTTGTTCTTGTGCACAGATTCTAATACTTTAAACTTAGTAGTAGTGCCATGGGTAGCTAGATGACTGACTTGCACTTGGCAGCATCCTTTTTGTTATTATCCAGCAATGAAACATGCTCAATATTTAGGCAACAGCTGAACTTTGTGTAGGCTAGTCAGCATGGACAGGGTAATAATCCACAAAGGCAGATTTGCCCAGCAAGCGAAAGAGGCAGAAATAAGCTTGTGTGATAGTTTGGGGAATATAGCACAGCGGTAAGCGCTAAGGGACAACTCCTGAAGCCGACTTTAACATAAAAGGACCGTCTTTATTCAGCATAACTTAAGCATAACAGTTCATTCAGGAGTCTCATCAAGACATTGTGGTTGGTCTCACCGACCTCTGTCTGTCCCATACACTCCCGTGTGATAGTCCCAGGACTTTACCGTAGTTCTCTGTGAATACAGTCCTCAGCACTACTCAGTGGCTTTCCTCAGCTCCAAGCCTGTTAGCATTCACCCCTCGTGGGTCACTGTCCCTCTCTGTCTCCCCGACAGGTATCTCAAGGTCCCCAACCCTCTTGACCTCTCCATGCTTCCTGGCCGTGTCACTTGTGCTCATGCACGCAGCAGCGTCTGCCTGTCATTGTGTGCCTCTTGCACGCCCAGAACTCTCCTCTAAAGCACTGGGCTGGCTTCCTAATAAGGCTGCTCTCAGCCACCTGAGCAGCTAAACCTGGCCACTGGCAACAACCGGCCCCAGGACTGGAGATCCCATCCCACTATAGTCTGGAAAATCTGGAAGGGATTGAACAGCCAGTTCCTCCTCTCCAAAGGTATTCACATTGTGGAACCTCTCAGCCCCTCTGGCTGAGAGTCCTGGGCGCCAAAGTGGCCATACTTTACTGCCACACTTGATAGAAACACAAGCCAAGGTGGAACAGTCTCTGACATACTTGACTAGTCATACAGTCCTCACAGTAAGATAGGAACTCCTGACAACATGCTTAACCAGAGACATTTGAAGCCTACCCTTAACACTTCTGACTGTGCCTGCTTTCTGGAATCCACTCCTTTCACAATGATTGTCTGCTGAAACAGCTGACTTAAATGTGTCACTGTCTGCATCTTAACATTGACCTTGAGCACCTGGAACTAGCATTACACATGGTACTTGCCTTGCAAAGTCTACCAGCACTTTCTAGTACTACTGTATATATCTGCTGCCTATTCCCATTCTCAGTGCCTGTTTGGACCAATTAGATGGCAAGTGATATAGTCTAAGAAGTTTTAATGCACACTTAGTAAGGGGTCACTTCAGAGTTCTCTCTACAACAGCATAGAATTAGATCCAGCAGGGTAACAGTAAAATGTTTCAATCAGCTACGTCTGTGTCTGGGCCACATACATAGAAAGGGATATTAGGTTACCAGATATTTAAAATAAAACTTGTGAATATTTATTTTTATGTCACAAACAAATATTTGACATAAGGCTATACACAACAAATAATTTATTTTAAAAAGTGTTTTCCTAGTCAGTTCTATTTTTTTTTCAAACCACAAGATGAGTAAAGTACTATTTCAGCAACTAATACTTGAAGATGTTAAACAAAAATATGCTTTGGATGGCATGTATAACATTTCGATTAAAGTGGATGCATAGCCAAAACATTTTCATTTTAGATTTGACTGGAGCAGGGAAGCATTAGAACCCTTATACATATGTTGTATTCTTCCCTCTGTTTCCCTCCTGAGTAAAGTCACCAGCTCTATTTGTTCTGATCTCTATTATCACTATTGCATTGTGGTAATGAGTGTGTTAACAAGCATGTTACTGCAACACAAGGCCATGCACATATTAACACGTGCTACAGCATGTGATGTGTTGTTGTGATGCAGTGCCATTCATTCTGATGGGTAGTTTAAAAATTTCCCTCAAGTTCAGCTTTAAGGTCTATCTTTTTTTTTTGTTCACTTCTGGTAGACTGGCAAAGGATAAGAACTCATGACATTTTTTTAATTGTAATCTGTGTCCCTCTAAGGAGATTCACCCTCTGTTTGTCCTGGTGACTACTGTCACTAAAATTGAATGTGAGGGAAAATCTAAAAACTAGAGTTGTCATCAAATGAGGAATAGAGGGCAAATCTTCCAAAGCGGACACTTGCTGCTGTGACAACGATCTACTAGGAGGATTTATCTCACTTTTGCCATTGCCGCTGCCGTTGTGATGTGGGGGCTTCTGGTGTGTCCCTGTGCCTTTAAGGAGGAATGGGCTACCTCCAGGCGAACCAGTACCCAAAACATCTTTTGCTATATATGTTCCAAGATAGAGGGGTCTATTCACAAAGCTGCCGAGGGCAGCCGAGTGAATGACCGATCAGAAGTGAAGTGAGCCGAACACTGTTCAGCTATTCACTTCAGGCTGGTACAGCTGATTTCAGCCGTACATTGGCTGAAATCAGCCGTACATCGGCTTGCTTTGTGTGGCTTCGGATCAGCCGAACATGCTCAGCATGTTCGGCTGACCCGAAGTGCAGAAGGAGTTCGACTCCTGGACATCTGGATCGGCTGAGCCGAACCCCCGGCAGGCTTCACACTGCTGTTCAGGCTATTCTGAAAGATCCCGAACAGCAGTGAGAGAATAGCCGAATGCCGCCGAGCGGCATTTGGCTCGGCTGTTCTGCTCGGTCCCTCAGAGGCACCGAGCAGAACAGAAAAAGAGTGAAAAAAGGTAAAAAAAGTAAATAGAAAACGATTGTGCGGAGCTAGCAGTGACAGCTAGTTCCGCCCAATAGTTTCCTATTGTCCGGCGGCTCTGCTGCTGTAAAAAAAAAAAGTTTAAAAAAGTTTAAAAAAAAGAAAAAACTCTCCCGGGCACTCTGGGAGCCCCCTGCTCCCGGCCGCCAAGTAGAGAAACAATGCCGTGTCTTTTTTTTTTATTCTGACACGAGCGATGTCAGAATAGAAAAAAAAATCTCTCCCATTAAAAAGCATTGGGACATTACTATTGGCTATTTCAATTTGCAATAGCCAATAGTAAACTAGCATTGTTCCCGCCCTCTGCTGATGGACCTGATGGGGAACTGCAGAGGGCGGGTACAATGCTAGTTTACTATTGGCTATTGTAAATTGAAATAGCCAATAGTAATGTTCCAATGCTTTTTAATGGGAGACATTTTTTTTTCTATTCTGACATCGCTCGTGTCAGAATAAAAAAAAAGACACGGCATTGCTTCTCTCCTGGGCGGCCGGGAGCGGGAGGCTCCCGGGGCGCCAGGGAGAGTTAGCTGTTTAGAGATCAGTGTCCCTTTCTGCACGGCTCAGCCGAGCTGATGCATATGTGATCGGCTCGACCGAGCCGCTCGGCCATGATCGGGAGCTGTACGGGCTATTGTGAATAGCCCGTACAGCACCCCCTCGGTTCTCCTGAACCGAAGGGGTCCTGGGGCCGAAGCTAGCCAAAGGATCGGCCGAAGCTACGGCCAGATCCTTCGGCAGCTTCGTGAATAGACCCCAGAGACTCTCATAGATTAGAGTTAGGACCACACTACACAGAGGAGCCTTGACAGGGCAGTGTGGCTTTCACATATTTTGTAAAAGTTGTGCAACTAAAACCTCTGTTTTTAACCCTTACGATTAGACAATGTGTTTTTTGCAGGCTACCTGGTAAGTGTGCTTGGAAATTTTTGCTTTTATCCCACTTTCAGACATATTTCATCTAACTTCCATTTGTGTCTTCAGAAGTGAAGGGAAATATTTTAAAACAATTTTAACCAAATTAACAAAAAAGTTTGATCGCAGATATAGTTCAATAAGAGAGTTGTGTATACCGTGTGGTTTATTGCTATTTGCATAACTAGTACTTTCAAAAACCACAGTTATAACCATTAACTGGAGTTTCATTAGCAGAAAATATTTAAGGTTTAAGCTATTATGCAATATTATTGTCTTCTTTTTAACACCAATACAGCAATGGTTGATGACATGAATGCATTTCTGGAGAAGAGCAGGAGATTAATCATTGTCTTCAGCAAAAATTATACCTCTGATAAAGTAATGTATGAGCTTGAAAGTGGCTTACACAAAGCATTGGTGGAACGGAATATTAAAGTTATTCTGATTGAGTTCACACCTCTCAGTGAGCTAAGTGTTATACCGGAATCTTTGCAGCTGCTCAAGACAACAAATAGGATTAAATGGAAAGGAGAGAAGTCTCGTCCTCTGAATTCTGGATTTTGGAAGAAAATGCAGTATCTAATGCCAGCAAAGCCAGCATTGTCAAGAAGTGATTTTCATAACCTGAAGGAAATACAAGTTTCAAGAAAAGAAAAACATATAATTGATGTTTTAACTCAGGAATAAAAGAATGAAAAGAGACATACAAAATAACTTTGTCCATGACAGTCATAGATGAAGCCTGACGTTCATTTGCGATAGTGCAAGAAATTATACATGGGCTCTACATTCACTTTCAACAACAACAGTCCTACTTAGTCCTACCTTTTCCTCAGTTCAGAACTTCAGCCCCCTAATGCCCTTTTCTTCAACATGTTAGTACAACTATAACCTCAGAGTATATCTGTAAAAAATAAGTCAAGGCAACTGGACTTGCTGTATTTTTCTTGAAGACATTTCACTGGTTGTCCAACCAGCTTTTTCAATTCAGAATTGAGAAAGCTGGTTGGACGACCAGTGAAACGTCTTCAAGAAAAATACAGCAAGTCCAGTTGCCTTGACTTATTTTTTTACGGATTTACCATTATAAGGGAAATCGTCAATCAGCCTACAATTGTTCATATGAGAGGACATTTTGCATGCACCATTTGAATATTTTTTTACTTAAACATAAATGGTAGATAGAAATGTTAAGGACCTCTTTATACCTGTTGTTTTCAGGGAAGCCCTATAGGAAAATGCACAGTCAAAGCATAAAGTCTTTTCTTTTTGACATGAGGAATATATTAATATTTATCATATGTGAAAAGTCCATTCTCTGTTACTGAGTGTACATTTTGGCAAAGCAGTCATATCCCACACAGAACCTTTGCTTATAAAATAACCTTGTATCTTTCACTTATGCCAGCTTACCTCTGTAAAGTGTGGATATAGCAATTGCATAGAAAAGGCTCAGTTCACACAGCTAACATACCAGGAGAAGGATCCTTATCAGGGGGATAACTACAGGTCATGGGGCCCCATAACAAAATGCTGACCTCTCTCTGGCTGTGTGTCAACTATGACAATAATGTCACTATACTTAATATAAAGTATGCCTGAATAAAGGACAGGACTATAAAGAAAATGTCACCAGCACACCAAAAGTAGTTCAGCAAAAGTCAGTTTATTGACACTTTGCCATTCAGTACAAGCGCTTTCGTGGACTCAAGGGTACCCCTTCATCAGGCTCAGAATGACACAGTCTAACAACATTCTGAGCCTGATGAAGGGGTACCCTTGTGGCAGTGGCGGACCTAAGGAACAAAGGGCCCTGGTGCAAGATTTTTTTTGGCCCATAAAGCGGGTTTTTTTCCAACTTTTTGCATATATCTACTGCTTGTTAGCCGTAGATATATATGCAAAAAAGCCAGAGGGTTTAATAACCCTTTAATACTCACCTGGAACGACCGACAAGGGCAGGCTCCCGTCTCTTAGGCTGTCAGAAGCTGCATACAGAGCGTGTCGGTAACTATTTAAACTGGTGCGCTGTGTGCAGCTTCTGAGAAGATACGCTATTAGCGTAGCGGCGAAGCCGGCTGCGCATTTTGCATCGCTCCCTCTACGCTAATAGCGTATCTTCTCAGAATCTGCACACAGTGCGCCGGTTTAAATAGTAACCGTAACGCTCTGTATGCATATAATGACAGCGTGAGAGCCGGGACGCTGTGCTTGTCAGTGGATCAGGTCATGTAAGTATTAAAAAAAAATATGTTTTACTTTATGTTCCCGGGACATTTAAAAATGTCTCAGGAACATAAAATAATAAAACATTTAACATTTTATTTTAAAAATGTCACCTTATCTTAGCCTGGTGGACAGTGGGGCTCCCTGGACCCTGGTTGTGGGGGTCTGTTGTGGCCGCAGCTATTCCATCCCTCTGCCGTCTTTCTGCACATCCGACACTCCCGGCCGGTGGCGTAGCGAGGGGAGTGGGGGGGCCGTCACTGCAGCTCCCGGTCAGCCCGCCCGCATCAGACCCGGCTCTCTAATCGGCCGCCGCTCGCTCCTGAATTGGGTCCTCTGGAGGCCCCTGCAGGCGGCCCTCTACAGGGCCTGTTTAGGTGGCCGCGTCTGCCTGATCCGCGGGGGCCTCCAGAGGACCCCCTTCAGGAGCGAGCGGTGGCCGATTAGAGAGCCGGGCTTGATGCGGGCGGGCTGACCAGGAGCTGCGGTGACGGCCCCCCAAAATGTTAGAGTAGAAACAGGCAAACTTCAAAATCCCCCAACAGCATTTGGTGTCCTCCACTGCCTTGAGGCCCCAAAAGCACTTGTACTGAATGGCAAAGTGTCAATAAACTGACTTTTGCTGAACTACTTTTGGTGTGCTGGTGACATTTTCTTTATACTCTGGTGCTATACACGCTATACAAGCACCCACCTGCTGTTGCAGGTCTTCCATTGTTCCGGTAAGGAGCGCAGCTGGTTTTCCATTTTTTCTGAATAAAGGACAGGTCACAGGAGAACATAGTCATCAATTATTATTACCTTTTGTATCACTTGCCCCTCCTACTAGATTGTAAGCTCTCACGAGCAGGGCCCTCCCAACCCTATTGTTCTGAAACTGTATTGTACTGCAAATTGTATTGTAACTGTACTGCCTCCACTATTTTGTAAAGTGCTGAGCAATTTGTTGGCGCTATATAAATCCTGTATAATAATAATAATAATAATAATAATAATAATAATCATACTCTACCAGGGAACAGTGCTGTGGAAAAAAAGTTGTCAGGAAAGACAACTTTCCAGTTTACCTTCTTTTTCATACCTGGTTGTGTACATTGTTTAAAGGTTAAAATGTAATAATTTAACTGTAAACATACTCATTTTTATATGGAAGTTTTTATTATAACTTGCTTAGGCGAATTTAATATTAGGTATGTAACTTGCAGTGTTATGATATGGTGTATTTCAAAGGTGGTCCACATTTTATCTTATTGTATGACATTTTGCTATTATTTAAGTTATGTAACTAAAAAATAAATTTATTTTACAAACCGTTAGCATTGGTTTGAATATCTAACTGTATTTAACAGCCATTTATGGTTAACAGGAAGCCAAGGTGTCAGTGCACTCTAATTAACAAATCAAAAACATAAAATAAACAAAAGCAAATGTGTACCGTAAGTTTCCATCCTGCATATGTCAGATCACCGCCTCAAAAGTGACCACGTATATATATTTTTCAAAATGGTTTAAAAAAAACAAAAACAACAAGCTCAACAATCTTCAACAGCTTCACCAGTCTGGCAAGTACTGTATATACTATATAGTGAAGCTATTTCTACAAAAAGTGTATAAAATAACATCAAAAGCAACTCTAGTGCATCATATTATTATCTAAACAAATTGCATGTATCATTGTACTCACATAGTAACAGCAAGCATATCTATAGGTTACAGTGAGAAGGCATCAGAAATATGGGCGTAAATGACAGGCTTTAGGGCTACCAAATGGCTGGAGCATCTCCAGTAGTCAATATTTTTTAAAGGTTTCGTTATTTTAACGTACTGGGGTCTCCTATCTGCATGGTCGCTATCATGCAAAAGAACCCACCAAAGGTGAACTTATCTTTTAACTGCCACTCCTATTTATATGGATCTTCCCTTCACTTTCCTTCTGTCGTATTATGCTATGATATTCAGGAGCAGCCTTGTATATGCCCCAAGTCATGACTAAGAATTATTTTCTAATCCCATGTGGCAGAGCTGGATTCCTGAGCAGCCAGTCCCCAAGCACCAGTGCTGCCAGGTGGGAGGACTGGTATTGCATCACATACTCCATACCTGGAAGCACTGGGTACTAATCAATTGCTCCTGGCAAACGATTGGTGCTGAGAGGAAGCAAAGGAAAGGTATGTGCAGCTTGTGAGGGTGGTTAAGAGAATCTGTTCCTTTGAGCTGCATAGGAAAAGTTTTTCTGCAAAGGAGAAGTATGGGATGAGTGGAATGCAGTTATCCCAATAGTTAGAGCTGATGTGTGACACTGCAACTGTCATACGTCAGCTCTATAGATCAAAAACTGAGCACTCATAAACTGTTGATCTCTCGCTTCCTCCAGTGCTCATTGGAGGGACAAACAGGGGAGGGGGTGACCATAGCTGGCTCTTGCTCTAGAGAGGCAGAGCCAGCTGTCAACAAGGCAGTGGGGTCGATCCCGACAATATTGTCGGGATCCTTTCCGGCTGGAGTGTGACTCTGCCCACTATATGCGTAGTTTTGTGTCAGAGGAGAACATTAGTAAATGCTACTCACTTGTGTCTACATTTAGGATGTGAAAGTACTATTTGTTACTGAGTGTTTGCAAGTAAAATCCTCTGTGAAACAACATGTAGCCTGCTTGTGATGTTTCTAGCATTACCCACAGATATAATGTCATTCGATTCCAATAAGACTCTTTCCCCTAAAATATTTAGCAACTACAGACTTTAACCTAGTAACCTACTTTTTATCATTTGGAACAGCTTAATTTGGGGTTGAAAAATATATTTAAAAAAGTAACATACATTTCCTGATATATATATTTCACATCTTTATGAAACTACTACTACCACTGGCTTATAATCTATGGCTTGAAACTGTTCTGACTCACTGACTCTAGCATGCAGCAAATGAAGTCAGAACTTTTAATCTTGTTCTGAGTCAATGACGCAGAAAGTAATGGAACCAACAGTATGACCAACAGGCAACTAACATTTACAGAAAGAAAGGTTAGCAATGGAATCCCGTTATAGCAAAACCCTTTGGCCAATTTACGTGTGTATTTCCTGTGGTGTAACACACATTTCGTAACTTAGGAACCGTTCTAAGAGCATTGTGGTCTATGTATGCTGTTCACGTCAATGTTCTGCTTTGTTGTGCAGTGAAATATTCCCTGCACTTTTTTTTTTGGTAAAACATGTTTTAATGGAACCCAATAAAGTGAACAGTACCATATGAAAATGTGTGCTAGCACGCCTTTTCAGGTAGTTTGGTTCCTGCTTAGGCTCCTTCTTCATAGTTATTCCCCCACTTTGCATAACACAACAACCTGAATTAAACATATGCTTTAACATACTTAAAAGGGAAGCTCCACTTTAAAAAAAAAATCTGGCTTGTCACTCATTGCTTTAGGGTCACCATTCTCATGACAGTCTGGCCATACAACCTCTGTACAATCAACTTAAAATCTACCAAACTATGTAGGGTCACTATG